CTGGCAGAGCCCAGCGATGGTCGTCCATCGCTGGAAACTGTCTCGAGCATTGCTCGACGACGGTGTTGACGTGACTCGTGAGGGCCCGAATTGCGGTCTCCGTGTCCTGTTTGTTGTTGAGTTGGTCGGGGATCGACTCTAATATTGAATTGGGCTCATTAAGTTTAGTTTTGACTCTATGCCAGCTAATGACTGTTTTGGTTTGGGGGGCGGCTATTGCTGAGGGCCCTAGCCGAAGGAGGACTGGTCGGTGATCAGAGTGAAGCTCGTGAATCACTTCCGGGTCGCGCATGGTCAGATTGATGTTTTTGACGACTGCAATATCAAGCACATCCGATGATTGTCCCTCTATATAAGGGAAGTGCGTATGTTCGACTGGGGCTACAACTTCAAAGTCGAGCCTGTCGGATAGCGAGTCGAGTGCAGTGCCTCGACTGTTGGTGCGTGTAGATTTCCATCGGATATGCTTGCTGTTGAAGTCGCCAGCTAATACGGTGGCTCCTCCTATGGAGAAGAGGGCCTCAAAATCGGATTGCAATATAGTTGCGGTTGGTCTGCAAGGGAGATAGACTGATACTAGAGTGATGGGAGAGTGGCCAGTTAGTGCCAGCTGACAGACGGAGGCCTCGAGATGCGTGAGAGCGGGCGTATCTACCGGTACGCAGTGGAGGGATTTTTTATAGTAAATTAGTGTGCCGCCGCCCGGGGCGCCGGCACGGTCGTTTCTAACTATCCGGTAGTTGGGGATGTGCGGATCCCTTGTCGCGGGTTTCCTGGAACGTTTCCTGTATTAGTGATACGTCGATTTGGTGATCGCGCAGAAAAATACGTAATTCGTCGCGTTGTTCTTTGAGCCCGTTCGCGTTGTAGAAAGCTACGTTGATCTATCGCGGTTTGACTCTGCCATTATTACGCGTGGCAGAGGGAATGACATTTTCGTTATTATTGCTTCTAGTTGTACTATCCATGTTCGGTTTAAACTGAGAGCGCAGCAACTATGTGCTGGTACTGGTCTAGAAGGAGTAATCGCGAGCTGAAGTTGCCTTTGGCATACTGCTCGGCAAAGTACATTACCTCCGCCATGTCGACGGTTCGGAGGAGTTGACTTAGTGAGTCCAGGGGGTTGCCCCCGGCCGCTTTTGGTGGTGTTGGGATGAGCGCCGGTTGAGGGGCAGCTTTGGGTTCCGCGAGTGGCGGATTCGGCGGGGGCCATGGGGTTCTGCCACGCGGGGCGAAGAGGAGGGAAAGAGGCGGCCGTTGGAATCGGCTGCCTTCTTGTTGCCTGAGGGGCGGGCCTAATGGGTCTGCGCTTAGGTGCGTTCGGGCAGCCAAGATAGTTGGTTGTGTGTCCTTCCGACTGGCAGAGGAGAATTATATACAAATATTATATACACATATTATGTGTATATAATTCTACTGTACGCGTGTATGCCACTGAACTCCTCCAAAACAGCTGGACCGGTTTTAATAAAATTTTTTGTGTGTTTTCAGGTCGATTCGAGAATGGTTTAGATTAACAATTTTCTTTTAAGTCATGTCAGTCTGTCGGTCCGCTAGTATAACTGTACGGGCACACTCAGAAACTCCAATTACCTTTAAACTAGATAGTCGTATAAACGTCGATAAGTATCCACATGCAATAGAAAGGAATACACACAAACATTACGTAGAAAGCAAAATCATTGTGAATGTGTGATATCAGAGCAGGTAACTTATAACTTCACTTCGGTACAGAATAAGATTATGTGAACTTATCTCGCTATATTCACGCGTTTATTTTTATCTCATTTCCGAATGCTTATATTAATTTATAAATTTAATTGGATGACTTCGACAACAGAGGAAAGAGTTGGCGTTGTAGTATGCTTCGACAACAGAGGAAAGAGATCCTTGAACAAATGTGCTTACTTCTTAAAATATTTTTTGTGCTTTTTTTGGGGGTCCATGTAACGGGCGATGTTTTATAGATGCTTTACGATAAATGTCGTGTCGTAGATAGAGGTTACCATTTATCGTGTCGTAGATGGTGATGACCATGGAGCGATGTCAAAAAAACGCTACAATATTATTTGACGACCCAAATACCCACAAGGTAGTGTACCTGCCTCCTGCGCCAGAGGGTGTGGGTTCGATCCCCACTACTGGAAAAATATTGTGTGATGAACATAGTGTTTTTCTAGTGTCTGCGTGTTTATTATATTTATGTATAATATGTATTTATTTACAAAAGAAAAGTATGTTTATCAGTTATCTAGTACCCATAGTACAAGCGTTGCTTAGTTTGGGACTAGAGAACGTTGTGTAAAACTGTGTCCTAAAAAAATATTTATTATTTTTATTATTTATATCTGACTGTAGGACGAGAGCACGAAAGCAAAGAATAGAGGCGTGAGACCTTATTTTTCTGAAGCTCTTGCTGACCGCATTTAATTACGTTTTCAAAATTTTGTTACTGGAACGGAATTAGCATCAAAATCTATTCTGAACAATTAATTTTTTCCACAATATGGTCATCATGATGGAGTTATCGGAGGACCTTGACAAAATGCTCAGCGACCTTAGTAACGTTAACAGCAGAAGCCTTTTAATGTGGCGCTACCACATTTAAAATAAACAACAAATTAGTAGCACTAGTTTAATTAATATTACTTCAAGTTTAACAATAAAATTGCTCTTTCTTGGTACAATTTTTTTTTAAAATAAAGACTCAGTATGAAATGCACATAGACTCGGATAACTACACAATAACTGTTGTTAAAGCACACTTTTTGTCTGTTACAAGGTTCGAAACTATAGCAAGATGCTTGCAGTACTGCAACTGGTTCGCTGATAATGGTTTCATGATATGTCATTTCTGATTATATGATTTTTGCACGTAAGAAGTTCCAATAACTAAGAATTAGGGGTACTTGGAATATACAAGTTTTTCTTTAGCATCCGATACTGCAGCCTGTGAACTCCGACATTCCATCAGTTGCTGAATTCAAAAGTGTAACGTTCCTACGTTTGTGTATTACAGGTTATTATAATGTTAGTGATTATTTAAATTATAAAATACTCTGGAAATTAATAGGTCGCTCCAGGCTTTTAAAGTGGATTTTAATATATTGTAAACATGTTTTTATTGACAAATATTGAAACATGTAGAAAAAGTACGAAAAGATTGTCGCCGCTGTGGGAATCGAACCCACGTTTTCGGCATTCGCGGCCTGACGCTCTAGCCACTGAGCTAAACGGCTGATAGCCACAGCGACGAGAATCTGAACGCTTTCTTCTTCTTTCTACGTTGTTATTTACCATTTAAAGCAATGCTTGGCGCATCTACTGTTATATCCTTTCCAGCATACAAACAATTTCGAATATCGTTTTATAACGACAATTCGAACGAGAGATGTCGCCATTGCTTTTTATAAATTTTAGCAGAGATTAGCACAAAAAAAATTTGACAAATATTGGTTAAAAAAAAAAAAAGAAAAAATGTCCCAGTGAGTTACTTTCGCCGGTTCTTCTCAGGCTTTCTTTCCGAACCGGTGGTAGTATTTTGACAATAAGATATTGTAATTTGAATTGAACGGTCACTCTCTCTGTATGTAACAGTATTAAAGTTAACAATATTGAAGAAAATAGCGCGTCGTTTGTAGGAGTTTTAATTTTTAAGGTAAAACAGCTAATAAGAAATGAAACAACATTTGTAAACATGTTAAAGATTCTTTATTTTGAAAAATCGATTCATGTACCTAATAAATCTTAGTGCAACGGTTCAGGAAACTTTCATCATCCGTTTTCTTAACTAACTTATTAAGGTAACATTATTTATATGTAGTACAAAAATATATTTATATAGTAATTAAAACAAACTCATCCCTCCCTGCTCGAGTTGAATTTCAAATACATCGATTAACTTCAAGTTACTTAAGTTAAATTTCGCCTATGAATTGCGAAACTCGTTAAAACTTTTCATTATAAATATGTACTATACTTTATTTACACTTAACGATGATCCGAAATTTCACAATTATACAATTCTACTTCTGACAAATCTTAAATTTTCAAATCATATGCATAGGAATGGCGAGGCTTATCATTGAATAGAGTCTTTGTGATTACCGGATAGAGCGAAAAATCTACGCATGAATATAACAAAAAATAAAAAATTGGCTTCAAAACCGTATTTCTTTAAAACAAATATACGCAAGGGTAACTTTTATTTTCATTTCGTACAGTCACAGATAAGCGTAAAAGTATTTTAATAGTTTCTTACACGGAATAAATGCTTATGAAATGATAGCGGTAGAGGCTTTGATTACAGTCGAATGCAATTCTTACATGAAATAAAACTGTCAGTCAAGCTTCCAATAAAAAGAATCTTTAGCAATATACTCTAATATCTGAACCGCTTCAGCACTTAACGAATAGCGAATGAAAAGTAATCTTGAATCTAAATCAAACAATAAATAGCAAATACGAGTCATAGCTGCGAAAACGAATCAAAGTCATCACTAGAGAATTATCGTGTATAACTTAGCAGACTTTCAAAAGTAAGTACCTGAAAGAATTGCACGTTTCAATCAACTTTAAGCGTATTAAGAGTTTCTCTAACAGCACAATGGATTTAATTTCGATACAAACACAATACGGATACAAAATAACCGTTACCGATTGAAAACAAAAAAAAATGTCTCAAAAAACAGCGTACGAATTAGATTTCTCCCTGCCGATTCCCCTAACGCTTAAAAAGCACCATGGAGTTAATCGAACCCATAAACCGGTTTCAACCGGCTAAATTACCACTGTACAAAGCTCATGAGGAGTTCTTGCTCTCGCTCTGTAGCCGTCACTAACTTCTCGCGCTCACAAATCATCCGTCCAATCTAAAACAGAACGAAACCTGAAGCCATTTTCGACCAAATAATTTGCCGGAAGTGGTTACATCGCTGACTCAACGAAGGCGACCACGAAGATGGTTGATCGTGGGTCTGAACCGCTGGAGGGTGGGCCTAGTCGGCCCGTTCTAGCAGCTTCCTCACCAGCCGCCAGTCCTCCATTATGTCCGCGTCGGGAAGCATGTACACCACGTAGGGAGGGGACACGGCCACCTGTCTCCTGCGCCGCTTCTTACCCCACTCGGCACCGCAGGACCACAGGTCCACCGTGTGCCGCTCCTCCTCTATCTTCCTTATCTTCTCCAGGATCTCCTCTTTCAGGTTCTCGTACGCCAGCCACTTCTCGCTCTGCGGACAATGGAAGCTTAGTCAGTTGCGGACGGTCAAAAACGGCTGTTTGCTCATACAACACCTTTTACATTTCAACTCCAATCGTGTAGATATAGAAACTGTTGACGTTATAATGAGCATATGTATTGCCAGATGTGGTGGGCCTTTTAGTGAAATACCATCGATTTTTTTCTTCTTTTCTTTTAAAACATTGCTCTTACTTTACGATAACATTATCCTGTGTTGTTAGGACGTTTCACAAACATACATTTTAGCAGGATTTTCACGGACAAACACCCAGATGCGAAACAACTATCTGTGGGTCACACAGTCACATAAATATTTGTCCCGTGTGGGATTGGAACCTACGACGCCGAAGCCAACACTTTAGAAACTGCGCCACGGAGTCATCAACGATAATATATATATAAATAGATAAACAAAATTTTAAATGAACAACTTATTAAGCAAGGGGATCCAATCCACGTTCTCAGATTACGTGTCAAGTTCCGGCTCATGGCCTTTATATGGAGATGATTCTTTTTTATTGCGTCGTCTTTTGGATCACTCGCCGAGTAATAAGCGACTCAAGACTCAAGTCCTAGTATAATGTTGGTAAATATTGGTCAAATATTGACCAAACCTTAGTCCGTACGGCGTTAGAGACGTTACGAGACTCTACACACAAGTGCGGTATCGCTTACGTAACTAATTACTAAATCGTTTACGAATCTATTAGCTAACGTGTGCGTTGATAGAGGAAAGCTTTATCGCTGGTAATTTACACAACGCTGGTGACAGGGTGCCGACGATGGGGTTCACTAAATGCCAGCGTAGATTCTTATAAAAAGATTTGCAATTTATTATTTGTACACTGTTATATAAAACAATTTTATATAATGACTGTATTAAATTATCAGCCTATACATGTCCCACTGCTAGGTAAAGGCCTCCTCTGTACATAGTCCACCGAACGGCCCCAAGGAGTATTGGCGGACTTCACATATCTTCGAAATATATATATATATATATTATTATTTCGAAAATATGCAGCTTTCCTTCACCGCTGAGCACGTGACAATTCGGCACTTAAAATTAACAATTTCATTGGTGCCGGCACCAGGGATCGAACTCAGGTTGCTTGAGTATATTAAATCAAAGGCGAGCGCCTGGACACTTAACCATCACTGCTAAATGACAGTATAATAATAACGAAGTAATAAAATAAACATAGTCCACGTGGCATGGTGCCAAGAACGCTTGCAGCGTTTCCTCGCTGAATAGTTATGCTTAGCTTTTGAGCCAGAAAAGAGTCAGGTCTCTTGTCACCAGCCACGGCGCTAAGCCGAGGAGGACGTAAACCATTCAAAATTTCGATAACGAACTGTTTAAAATAACACGAATGCTTAAAACGTTGTGTGGAGGAGGCCTTTGCCGATCGGCAAGCAGACCTACAAAAAGTAATTAAGTATTAGAATATATAGAAGTAATTAAGATCAGTTTAGCTACAAAAAAAATATAAATATATAGAGGTGTATTCCATAGTTTTCTTTGTTCTTAATACTTTGTGATAGATACTAAGTTGGTCTGAATAAAGGGCTTTATTATAAAACTTTGTACAGAGGGTAGTAGGGCAATGTCCACCATGCGACCTCAACACCGATTGGCAGACTTCACATATATTCGAAATATTTTTTTATTACTATTCGAAGAGAAGTCAATTTTTTAACTGGTATATATATATACAGATATTTCATTTCGAAATAAGATAACTTGGGGTACCGAAAATAAACGCAACTTAGTTTAGCCATGGCGTGCCAAGATAATAAGCGAAGCGTTTATAATAATAACTAGCTTATATCCACGGCTCGCGTTGAAGCCAATTGAAGAGAAGTCAATTTTTTAACTGGTATATATATATATACAGATATTTCATTTCGAAATAAGATAACTTGGGGTACCGAAAATAAACGCAACTTAGTTTAGCCATGGCGTGCCAAGATAATAAGCGAAGCGTTTATAATAATAACTAGCTTATATCCACGGCTCGCGTTGAAGCCCATTAATATCTATATCTTATTAATATTTTTTTTATTAAAATTCATTAATATTTTTTTAAAATAAAAAGAATCTTATGTCCCTTTTAATAACTCTTAGAATATGTGTACAAAGTCTCATGGTAATTTTGGAGTAATTTTGGCGTGAAAGCGTAAAAAACAAACTTACATTCACATTTATAATATTAATTAGTAGGGATTATAATATTAATTACTAGGGAAGGAGGGATAATGTTTCATTGCAGGCATTGTATCCCCATAAATTATCATCAAATAACAAAGATCAAATAAATAATAAAAATAGCCTCCTTTATATCCAATTTTACATGTTATAAATCAGTAAACAATTCAAGTTTGATTCCCAGATTGCCAATATTTAAATATATCAGAGTTCATATCTCCACAGACAACTTGGAGGATACTGTTTTTAGAGTAGCACAATCTAGCCCAAAAGAAAGCTATAATTATGTTACAACCAACATTCAACTGACATTCAATTTTGAGATCTTTGGGGTTTGTATATTTTTAAATAACGGTCCTCCATCGAACAAAGGTTGAGAAAGACTTTAGGGCCGAGATACTAAAAAACACCCATTGTGTAGACACCGTATAAGGGTGCGTAGTTCAGGTAGAGAGCACAATAACAAATTGATACCTTTACAAAAGTGTTGGGGGCTTCACTACGAATCGGTATAAAATACAGGGTCTTCTATTCTTCGATTAGAAAATACATCCGTCAATTCTAAGACATATTTCATAAGCCGCTAGTTGGGAAGCTGTTAACATTATTAGTAACGCGATATTTCTCGTAAGGCGGAATTCAAAATCATTAAAAAAATTAAATAGATGATCTATTTGTATGATATATAATATTGTAACAATTTAAGTAGTGATTTCTTGATATTACGCGAATTATACATATTAAACGAAACTAGTTTACGAATTTTATTTCTAATTCTTGACGTTAGAAACGTCAAGAATTTGATTGTGAATTGTGAAAACACTTTCCAGCGTTCATGGTTACGGGACGGACCGAGTTGTTTCACGTATTGATTAGTTATTAGTTAACGTATTGTTTAGTTATTATTTAGTTAACCCGGGCTACCGTAAAATTATTATGATATTTATATTTATTTCGATCTACGCAAAATGAGCTTGTGTTAGGTATCTTGAGGTCTTGGTGTGCTTGAATTTAATTTTATAAATTACTAGCTGCTGCCCGCGACTACGTCTGTGTAGAATAGGCTGAAGGCGTAATATTCAGACAGAAAGACAGATACATAAAAATATATGTATAAATTATAGTCTGTCTTATTCTGATGTATAAGTTATATTATTGTAAAGTTTTATTTATTATTGTAATCAGCGTGAAAGAGCACCCACCTATACATACAAACTTTCGCCTTTATAATATTAGTAAGTTTTTTTCATCATATTTTAGACCGCCCCAACCACTACATTAGATTTGATAAACCTAAAATCGCAAATGAACACCGATTCCTCTCAAGGATGATCCGCCGGGCTACAGTAACATCCAGATTTCAATAGAGAAGGTGGTTGGGGTTTATCATCTGTTTGGGATCCCATAATTGGTAAAATTAAATCCAAACCGCTTACAACATGAATCATATTTTGTGCCGACCCCACTTAGATGGGATAAGGGGTATGAGGATGATGATTATAAAACTAAAACATAGATGTTAAGACGCGTTAGGTATATCAAATTCGTATTTTTTCGTGAATAACACGCCGTCTTTTCGTGATATATCAAAGCATACAATCGGCGTCGAAGTGTGCCAATATTGAGAAGGGAGAGATTTTATTATAGCCGCGACGCAGTTTCATTGTGCATTAAGGACTGAGTTATGTAGCGATAAATATCATGGACGTCCACATGCGAAACGCGACCGTATGCCAGTCGAAAAAAGAGATAACACACCGATAGAAGTTAGCTTGAATGTTCTTATGCTTGTCGGCAGATTTAAATGCGAACGCTCAAAAACTGATGTATTATGGGTTTCATATCCAAGACATACAAACATATGGAGCTCAAAAAAATAAAAACATTGCTAAAATGAGTAATCTTAAATCTTTATGCCCGTTAAAATATCGAATCGTCGGTGTGGCAATCAGCCGTCTAGCTTAGTGATTAAAGAGTCAGGCCGCGAATGCCGAAGACGTGGGTTCGATTCCCACAGCGGCGACAATCTTTTCGTACTTTTTCTACATATTTTAATGTTCAATCTTAAGTGCAAAGATTAGCACTATAAACAATTTAAATTTATTTATGCCCGCTCTTTATATGTATTATTTTTTATCAGGTATTTTTTAAAAGGTCCCATCGTACAGGTAATTGGTGGATTTTACATATGTTCTAAATATTTTTTGTTATTATTTGGAATATATGCAGGTTTCCTCACGATTTTTTCCTTTATCACGAGCACATGATAAATCAGCACTTAAACAATTTCATTGCTTCTAGCACCAAGATTTAAACTCATCTTGCTTGAGTATATTGAATTAAAAGCGAACGTTCGGATACAGCTATCTCGGCCCACTAGAATACAATAAAATACGTAGAATTGATACAATATAAAAAATGACCTCTGATATTACCTCAATCAAGAAATAAATTGTGATGCAACCTTAATGTAGGAACATAAAACGAAACAATATAAAAGAAAAGGAAAACATGGTCAGCATACCCGCATATTTTCGAAATAATAATAACAAATAAAACCGTTTAAAAACTTTTAAGTTAAACGGTTTTATTTTCTGTTTTTTTTTTTGTGCACTGAAAAGTACAATATTGTATTGTCATCTAAATTAAATGTGTGTACCAAATTTCAGATCAATCTGACAACGGGAAGATGCTTAAAGGGCATTGTCCACTTTGTATGGAGGTTTTGGCTTGGAGTGAACATTCACTGAGAATAACAACGATGTGTAGAATTAATAGATTTATTCAAAAGGAATTAGAAAAATAATAAAATTTTGTGTCCAGGTGTTTCTTAGTTTTTTTTTTTTAAATTATAAACAGGGCTTTGAAATATAATATCGAATTTAGTTTTCATATTTTTTTATTAATCAGATTCATAAGTTAATAAAATGATATATAAGAACCGGGCAAGTGGATTTACAGACTCTGGACCTTGTCCAGCTCATGAACCAAATAAAGTATATTATATGGGCACAGCAACCCACTGTCCGTCGACCCACCATGCAGTTGCAAAAATATTGTTTTATACTACTACGTCTGTTATATTATTTTCATATAACATATAAATATAATATATTTTTCTGCTGATACACGAAAACATACATTCACAATACCAAAGAGAATGTAATCACTACGTTTACCTATACAATACCTACGAATAAGGCAAATGACATTTGTCAAAATAACAGGCACAACTCCAACCAAAGTATTGCCTAATGTCGCCATAAAAATCGTAACCAATGAACAATTTTTTTTTATGATTCTGGGATTTTGTTATCAAATACTTTGGCAAATATTATTCAAATACATTGATAATTGAAGTTGATCAAAATAATAATACACTATTAACTTTCATTCCTTATAAATATTTATGTATAAAAATGCAGTGCCACATGATTTCGTGACTTATGCACTTTCGATAAATTAGTTTTACCACAAATAAAATCTATGTCAATAAATGAGAATAATAATAATATTATTTTGATTGATTAAAAAGAATATTCATGGATGTGATTGAGATTTTTATACTGGCAAGGTAATATTTTAAAATGTCGACAAGACTTTGTGTATATAAATCAATATAAATACTCATTATTGGATGTTTTTATCAGTTTGAATCGATACAACCGAAAAATACAAATATTCATGTTTTGTTCAGGGAGATTTTTTGGTATAATTGTTTTTATCTAAGAATTCTGTTCACGCGAAGCCAAAAATGGACAATGTCCTTTCAATTTCTAATTTTGACCCAAATAAACAAATAAATTCCGTACGTGTCGAGCTAAATAAAACCGTTTAAAAAATGCTTCGAAGATAGTTGAAGTCCGCCAATCCGCAGCGGGGCCGCGTGGTGGACTATATCCTGAAACGTTCTGCACAAAGGAGGCCTTTGCCCAGCAGTGGGACATTTATAGGCTTTTACTACTTTTCTAGAATCTGAGAAATATCACCTACGGGCCATTGTGTTCGTGTATTTTGTGTACGCGCTGTTTCTGTTTCGCCGTGCTCGTAGGCGAGCGAACTAATCGGTTATGTGTTAGAACAACCTATTTGTACAGTGTTGTATAGCGGGATCCCCGGTAGGTCCGACTTACTCGACTTCATCGACTGGTTCGATGAGGACATTGCGTTGTAAACGTACGTGGTTATGTCGTGTTGGTAATTCGCAGCGTTTACCACCGTAGGATTGGAAAAACAGACTGAAGTACACAGCACTCATTTAAAAAAATAAAGAAATGGCCATATTATAAGCCTCCGGGATGTATAACTTTACCTTTTGAACTAATGTACGTTGTAGTTCATGCCAAAACTATGCACAACGTTGCCAAAACTCAGTAAAAAACTGAAACCTATTTTCAATAAATTTTATAGATTTCATTAAGATAGCTACATGTTTGTAAATAGATTATATCATAGTTTAGGCTAATATTTCTAATAGAACGCAATTTAAATTTGTTTAAATGTGCAAATACGGGAACAGTAAGTGAAATGCGGATTGCGTTTCAGTATTGATTTGATTGTAGAGGATATTATAATAGGAAAAAATCTTTAGTTAGTGAATAGGATAAGACGTTTGACATTTGACTTTTTTAAGTGAGAAGGCGGCAAACGACCTGGCGGTTCACCTGATGTTAAATGATAATCACCACCACCCTACGGATGTCGCAAATGTCGTGAAAATTCATTCATGTTTTTTGAAAGAATTATTCAACCAGCGGTTTAATTTTGGACCGTTGCCAATAGTAGGATTACACTAATCAAACTAGGATAAAAAAGATGATTTTTTCCCACTTTTAAAGAAATGCCTATTTCAAAAATTAAGGAAACTATCTTTAAAAATCAAACGGTTTTAGAAACAGTCACAATTTTTAACATTTTAGTATTAGTATTTATAGTATTATTTTTTTATATTATTTTATAGTATTATGGATATGATTTATGGTTGCTGATAGAGAACTATTTTTAAGGTTAAGCTCGACATTGTACGTTTTTTTAACTTTAACTTTGTTTTCAATTTTATGTTGTGTACAATATAGAATAAAAAAGTCCTAGGCATGTTGTTCGAGTATTACTGATATATGGCATGTGTATTTAACTCTTGGTCTCATAATACGATAACTATTGTACGTTTATTAAGACTTAAAAGTAATGGGACAGTCAGAGAAAGATTATTTTATCTTTTTGTATGTATGTACTGTTGTTATGTACCACGTAAAGTTATAAACAACAACGAGCATATAATTAAGCGCGATTAAACACACGTTGCTTATGGTACCAGGAGCACATAATCAGAAGCTACATACAAAATAACAAACACGGGCGCGTTCGGAATTATAATTCATTAAAAATGAGATACAAGCTTTCCAACCGTCTCAAACCTAATGACATTTAAAGAGTGAGACGGTTTCATTACATCGCTTTGCTCTTTGTATCTGCATCTATTATATATACTTTATGCGTCTGCATATATTACCAGGAACCCATTAATAAACTGTACATTCATGATTATTTTAGTACGTTCTAAAGTGGATGTATGTTTATTGCAAAACTATAAAGCGGAATGAAAGCAAACATTATCTGTCTCTTTCTAGACTGGAATTCTGCATCTATGTATACGTTTGTATTATAAAAAAAGTACCAGGAGTCCATTACTAAACGCTGCATAACCAATCAATCGAGAACTGTTTGGATGCATACCGGAACGCAGCCATACGCCACTGACACGGGTGTCTGACAAGGCTGTACGAACGCGGATTCTAACCTCATCAAGCTGACATATAAGTGACACGCAGAGCGAAAGTCGCGGTCCCGTTTCGACGTCTTCGAATCGGCGCGAATCTCGCGTTTGGCACTCAGCCAACGTCAATGTTCTACTACCGATCGCATTATTACTGGCAACGGAAAGATTAGGTTGTAAGACTCATAGCGTTCTATTGTCCGAAGGTGTTTATTATTAGGGTATCATCAGGCTCTTTGTCGTTGCTCTCCGTGCGATTTATTGTGTTTATTGTTTTAATATGAAATAACAGTTACTTTTTAATGTAAGACGACGGCAAGCGAGCGTTGGGTTCACCTGTATTAAGTGATAAGCGCCGCTCATTTGTTACGGGGGCCCGCTTTAAATGATAAAGTAGTGTTTTTAGTTTAGGCGAATACTACACGTGTTAAATAATACTATTCCCAATTTTTTCTCTTTTTTTTTAATAATATGAATTCCAGAAATTTCTAAACCTCTGTAGGGTCCATGGTCTTGGGACAGACAGATATATTTTTTCGTTAAAACAACATCAACTTTTAATTTAGTTATCTACTAATCTTATTGAAAGTATATAAGTTAAACTTACAGTCTACTCGGTTTGTAGTTAAAATACGAAAACTATTGTACTGTAAAACATTTCTCGTAAATTGTCTAAGTACTAATGCCATCCCTCGCGTCTTTGTCTGGGTCTGAGTAATGCGACAAAATCAGTGTAATTTTATCGGATGACGCGTTACGACTCGTAGCTTGAAGTTCAATAGTAAAGGCCCATTTACACGATGCCATTTTCTTGTACATACAAGAGCAATAATTGAATGCAATTAAATTGCGCGCAATAATTTGTTAGACCATTTGTTGTTTAGACCATGCAACTCATTTATTGCTTCAATTTAATTGTATACTAACGGCAAGAAACTTGCACCGTGTAAATGGGCCTTAAGGAACAGAGTATACTGGTAAGTTGTTTTATGTGACTCATTCAAAACGGTTCGAGGGCCATTAGGATACAAAATACGAAAATCGTTGCAAATAAAAGAAAAATATGATATTACTTTTTGCGTTAGTTTAGTTTTATGAACTTATACTGGGTTAGGAAAAGAATCTTTAAAAAGTTATTTAAGTTTTAAAACACCGTATCTTATACTTTATTTGTACTTTATAATGACCAGCATAAACAGTTCTATCGGAACTTGAAGGAAATAAAGTTTTCTTATCCGTGAAATCGTTGTTTTAGTGTTCAAATTGTAAGAAATTTAAAATTAAATAGAAAATTAAACGTGATAAATTCATTTAAACAAACAAACACAATATCAGATTTCATTGAATAAATCTTCACAAAAGACATCTAGTATGATGCACGACGCTATTGAGTTGAAAAAAAAAAACATACAAATTTTAATACAAATGAGGATTTCCATCATCATACTGTGCACGCTCAAGATTCAATTTGCACTTTCTAAATCGTAAACAAAAATAGTAATTCCATTCGGATTTCTTATGTCGTAGCTCCTCTCAGGGCGGAATTTAGGATTTCCCTAGAGATGTCATCATTCCTATTTGCAATATTTTTGATATCGCCGAATATTACATAGAATACTTACATTTTATCAATGATAATTATATTTTTATATCTTCGATGTGGCTAAAGCTAAATGATAATGGCTAGTGCTTTTAAATGTACCAATTGAGCTGTAATTCTGTAATACCATTATAATATATTTATACTCTATGGGAAGCCCTTATACCATTGGGCCAACGTGGAATTTCATCCTGTCAGCATCAAAAGAACGAGACAATGAAGTTTCACGTTTTTCATTCCAATCCTTTGCCTACTTGTTTTAATTTTTGAACAATGAGCATGGTTTAAGTCCTAAATCTTTTGATTATATTTTGTCAACACAAGTTATATATTTTGTTCATCCCATTTATAGTGTCAGTGTTAATTTCAAGCTGCCGCATACGAAAGCCGACACTGAAACGTTATACGCGATGCGTATTGCGTCATCCGCAAACGGCGGACGTGGCAACGGCAACAGCGCGTTTTGGCGGGAGGGAGCGCGGGCGCAGCGCGCACAAGATGGCCGCCGCACTTCCGGGAAACGCGCACAAAGCGAGGTCGCCCCGTTAAGGGCATACGCACGCGTTAATAACACGCTTTGCTTCTCAGCACTGCTGTGTGTTGCCACTGTTTAAATTAAGCTTGATATTTACGTTCGGAATTGTTTTTGGAAATCCTATGATATAAAAAAGTAATATAAACTCTATGGATATAACAAGTCAAATGTAGCGAACCGATATAGAAAATAAAATACTAATAATGAAATGAGTCAGCCAGTTTTAACATATTTGAATGTGTAACTTATTTATTAAAAATAAATTAATTTACATACATCGAACAATTCACTAAATAAAGTGAGTAGTTTTATTTTAATATTCATAATTGTATGCATGTCGGCACTATAACGTATAAATACTCAATTTACTGCGTCATATGTCACTATCATCATTAAAAATAATATTGCATTGTTTGTCATTATAACTTTATGAGTTGAATCTTTGGGCAGTGATTGAGCTTATGCGAAAGTTAAGGTGAAAAAAATACAAATTAAGTAAAAAGAGGAACGGAAATCTTATATATATATATATAAAAATGGATTGCTGTTCGTTAGTCTCGCTAAAACTTGAGAACGGCTGGACCGATTTGGCTAATTTTGGTTTTGAAACATTTGTGGAAGTCCAGGGAAGTTTTAAACGATGAGAAATTATGGAAAAATTGCATGGAAAATTGAAATAGCAACAATTTTATTTTCTCATACCAACTGTACCTGTCAACGTGTCAACTATGTCTGTGTAACCTGTCAAACACTATGCGTGCGTTCCGATTTCTCTAGAAATAATTTATATGACAAAACAACGTTTGCCGAGTCAGCTAGTTAGCAATAGAAATCAATTATTTGGAGGAGTCCTTATCATTTGGTATGTCCGGTGTGGTCTGTTTTGTTTTGTCGGCAGTGATTTGCCACCCTAGCAATGTTGTGAAATACGAAATTATATTCAAAAATAAATTTGTGCAGTTTATCTACAATTTTACACTTAATTTAATTTTACTAAATCAAAAAATCACCACCCAAGTAGTATTTTTTTTATGCGAAAAGATGTCAACCCAGCAGACGGTTCACCTGATGGTAAGTGAATACCGCCGCCCATGGACATCTGCCACACTCGAGGGTTACAGATGCGTTGACAACCTTTTGAAAATTGGGCTCCGGCCACCTCACTCACCAGACGAAACGCGAAAGTATTTGTCATACTTCCACTTTACGCTGGTCTTCTGTGAGGTCGTGGTACTTACCCGGACGGGCCTGCCCATTCGTGCAACAGCCGAGGCTGTTGCGTGGCCCTACCACCGTAAAAAGTAGTAGAAAATTCACAGCCTGAAGTAGGACTCACTCGTTAAATATGATTAATCGTACAGAGCACATTTTAAATCATTGGTAGATCAATAAAAATACTATACAGACACATTGATAGATCTAAATAGAGGAGGCCTTTGCCTAGCCGTGGGACTTGTATAGGCTGTTACTTTATAGAACGTTAGATTTTGTACGAATGCCCCGGGGGAGTTTAGTCTTTGCATAAGCGTTTAGCTTTGTGCGACGTTTATATTAAAATATCTACTTATGGTCGATGACGGAGTTCAAACACTTGTAACACCAAAAACGGAGCGAGATAAATTATCTAATTTAGCAGTTCTATATTCATCATTTATTTGCAGACCGATGTGATCATTAAATACAAAATTAATAATCATTTAAACGTTACTGTTCGAATAAATGCTGCAAATTATTTGAAACGTCGATAATTTAAAATGAACGCGATAAAAGTTACATCTAATAATGCGTGGTGTTTGTGTAAATTTTAGAAATTTCTGTGCCGGAACGTTTCGCTTTACTTACAAATATAAACCAGCATTAGTCGGCATGGGAGCAACAACGCTAATGTAAATTACGATGCAATGAACACGTAAACAAAGATTGCTGGAATGTGCAAAGTCGTGCTTAACGAAGGGTTTAATGGGTGGATAATAGAGGGGAATAAAATAGAGGGGATGGCGAAAGTGATGCTGAGATAAGGACAGAAGAAGACATTTCTATCAGCGGCCTCGATTCCAAGCACCCACGTCCGCGCCACGCCACGGCCTGTGGGACGTTCGGAGCTGATAACGCGTGACGTCACGCCAATTAACCTCAACTCGCGTCCGTCTCGGCGTGAGTCACGCGTTACGAATGCAAGAGCGGGATGCTCTCATTGTTTATCGATCGTTTACGAACTGTTATACAAATCATTCCTTATAACAGAACGGACACTTAATTGTTCATGCGCCCTTGGTATCACTGTGGACTGTCAAGGATACTGGCCGAAATCTTTACATGATGACTCCGTGGCGCAGTGGCCAAGGTATCGGCTTCGGCGTCGGTGGTCGTGGGTTCGATTCCCACACGGGACAACTAATTGTGTGACCCACAAATAGTTGCTTTGCATCTGGGTGTTTGTCCACGTGAAATTTATGTTTGTAAAACGTCCTTACAACACAGGATAGTATTATCCTAAAGTAAGGGCAATATAAAAATCAAAAGAAAAAGATGATTATAATTAAGAGTCAGCTAGTGCTTGACTGTTATATCACTAAATAGTAAGTTGTTCACACCCACTAAACGTCAGTTTAATTTTCCATTGAACACACAGATTGACGCTGACAATTTATTTATTTAATTCTACTCATTTGCTTTACACATATCGAATGATGGAGCGAACCATGTCGCTGGAATGCGGGTAATATCGGCAACAAAAGTATATCCTGCCATCTGTGGGTGGAGTCTTTACTCGTCCTATTGTGAAGACAGCAAAACAAGATTAAAAAACCGTAATAAAAACGAGGGGCAAGCTATTCTGGACATTGTCCGCTTATTTTTATCCCATTTCATAACAAGAGATAGCAGTAATTAGTTAGTGTAAAGATTCTAGAATAGAAGAATACGAAGAGGAATATGTAAGTAAATGAGATACCGTCTTCTTCAAATCAAATTAAATAATTTATTCATCGAAGTAAGAAATATATATTTCATATATCGCTAGTCATTTTTTAAATATATAACCACTCCACCACCCCCTTCCTTTTTGAATCTATTGCCTTATATATAATTGATCTTAACGCGCCAGATTTCGCTATTTGTTCCTAAAGTACAACCTGTTTTGGAGGTCCATATTCAAAAATCAAGTGTTTATAAAATATTTACAGGTTGTAGGCATAGGTAAGGAATTTATTAATGATTACTAGTGTTATAATCATTGTCAGAGGTCTTGGCCGGAACTTCAACTAGTGAATTGAGTTTGCTGATTTTAATACCATTAAGAGAGGTAAATTAATAAAAGTAAATTCTGCTTTCTCCGTAAAATAATCAACATATGAGCGATTGTTAATGTAATGCTTTTGTGAATCTTCTAGCAGTCGTATAGTTTATAACTGCATCAAACGCGTGATAGTAACAAATATTTCATGGCGAAGTTTGGTACAGTTATGGCTCAGACGTTGAAGTTTGTATGGTTAAGATAGTGTTTTGTATTTCATTTGCGATAAGCCCGATAGCCATTTATAGATTATTATGGCTCGAACACAATTTATTTATAAGTTTCCCACGTGATCTTTATGTCTCGAAGACTCAATATTTATGTATTTATTACGTCATGATCAGAGAATGTTCGAAGGTCAGTAACTAATATTTGTAAAGTGACTAGCGTAACCGAAGGAAACCGGTGGATTCCGTGGGAAATGATAAAATATGCAGCCACGAAAGGAGATTTATTCATTAAAACCCACGTTTAACTATGTCAAAAATATTTCAAAAATAAAAAACACCTATCAATTTTATCTACCGTTATTAGAAATCGCTTTCCACGGTGCAACGTTTACAATATACTTCGAATGTTTTCTACTAATTTTGCAGATGCATAAATAACGAAAACGTTGAGCCTATTCGTGGGCGTGGTAGGTCGCTGGTGTCGTCAGGAGGCAAATCAAATAACAGAAAATTCGGTGAGCGCGTATACATCCGCTAGGAGGGTGATATATATCTGTCCCCGTATGATGTCTTAGTACAACTGAGTGGCTAGACGCGAGGCAAATTCAACGGCTGCGCAACAAACTTCTACTACATTCCACGTATTTTTTAAATATTGTACAACTTAAGCGAAATACAAATGAATTTCTTCGTGTGCATAATCTTCAGTTCTAGCACAAGAATATGAATGGGACATAAGGTAAGTAATTAACTTAATCTCTATATAATATATGACAGTGGTTACAAGACAGAAACTACTTAAGTTTGTTTGTATAAACTAATTACAGTTATTTTATATTTCAGTTGAATTAGGTTTATCTTGGATAAATAGAATTTAAAGAAAAATATTGTAATCCTATAATAATAATAAAATTAAGTGGATTATTGCATAAATGGAATATAATAAGAAAAATTAAATGAAATGAGTAAGTTGAGGAATAATTATCTGGTTCTATATTAAATAGAAAGACAGAGTTAAAAAAAATAAGTTAGTTACAATAGCTATAGAAATAAATAGATCGAGGTGCTTAGCAACATATATTTTGCAATATGTAACTTGAAGTAGCACTTAACTAACAATAAATGGACAGTTTTGTGTCAGAACAATATCTTTATTAAAACTTAGGTGTTTAAAAGTCAATAAAGTATTGTCATTTATCTGATACAATTATGTAATCATTCATGGTCAAGAGGCAATAACAGAGTCCAAATGTGATAATTATTATTTAAAAACTTGTTTTAACGACCTGTGCACGTTATTTAATGTCAGAGAACCTTCAATGTCGCTAGTTTATTTAATAACATTTGGATTTAAGTTGTTGAAAATGTTTTGTTTTTTTGCTTTTTCATTTAATTATAATTTAAAAAACCTTATTTATTTTTTGTCGCTGCGTATGAATTGTCTTACGTAATAGTATTCCATTTCTAAAATATATTTTAATTAAAAAATGTGTTAAAAATTCAGAGGTTTCTAAACAGTATATAAAATTATCTTATATTTAATAACGTTATTACTGTAATATTTAAAAATGTAGCATTAACGACAGTTTCTCGTCTTATCGACTATTAAAT